TTTTGAGAGAAGTAGGGGATGAGGATAGGAGGGAGACTTGAGTTTTTCCCCTGTTAATAGGTTGAATTGTGTCCCCACCAAATAGATAATGTTGAGTTCCTGACCCCCAGCATCTCAGAATGTGACCTTATTTGGAAATACGGTCTTTACAGAGGTAATCAAGTTAAGATGAAGTCATCAGGATGGGCCCTAATCCAATATTACTGGTGTCCTTATCAGAACAGAGAATTTGGACACAGAGACAGACATGGGCAGAGGGAAAGCCATGTGAAGATGGAGGACTGTAATGATGCATATAGAATTAGAGGAACTCCTGAGGCTACCAGAGCTAGGAGAGAGGTCCCAAGCATATCCTTTCCTAGTGCCTTTAGAGGGATCATGGCCTGGCTGATACTTTGATCTTGGACTTCTGGCCTCCAGAACTGTAAGAGAATAAATTTCTGTTATTCTAAACCATCTAGATTATGGTACTTTGTTATGGAGGTAACTAGGAAACTAACACATCCGCTGTGTGGTCATTTTGTTTTACCTGAGAAATAGTGATCTGGGCTGTATACTGTAGTTGAGTTTCAAAGAATTTAAAAATTTCTAATTATCATTCATTGTTTAAATGCAGAACTCTGCAGGTACAGGAAAAGTTGATTACTGCTACCTAATTTTATAAATAATTTGTGTTCTGCGATATTTTTGACATATTAAAAAGACTAATGTAACCTAGAGTATACTATGCTTAGTGAAGTCAGAGGAAGACACATACTGTATATCGCTTATATGTGGAATCTAAGATATAATACAAATGACTGTATGCGGAAAATAGAAAAAAAAATACAGATTGATTGATTGATGTGTGGTTACCAAAGTGGTGTGGGAAGAGGAGAGAGACGAATTAGGGGTATGAGATTAACAGATACAAACTACTATGTATAAAGTAGATAAGCAACAAGGATATACTGTATAGCACAGGGAATTATAGCCATTATCTTGTAATAACATATAATAGAGTATAATCTGCAGAAATACTGAATCACTATACTGTATACCTGAAAATAATATATTGTAACTCAGCTATACTTCAATTTTAAAAAAAGACTAATGTAACACGTACCCATATATTCACATGCAACTAAGAAATAAAATTGTACAAATACATTTGAGGTTCCCTTTGTAGACCCCAGACCCCAGTCCCTTTCCTCCTCTTCAGAGGTAACCACTATCCCAAATTTTGGTATTTACCATAACAATGTATGTGGGTTTTCTTTTTTTGCTACATATGTATGTATCCTGTAAACATAGTACTGGGTTCATAATTTTTAACTTTTATTTCTTAAATCCTTCTGCTGCTTTTCAGCTTAGCACTTTAAAAGTTTTACCCAAGTTGATATGGGCAGCTTTATAGCACAGTTCATCCATTCTCTTCCTGGGCATTTAAGGTTCCAGCTACTCATTATTGAAGCTGTGCTGCTGCAGATGTTCTTGTGCATGTCTTACATGCATGCGTTTCTCTGTCACGGTAGCTTTCACACATTTCATTATACCCACAATAAGTACGTTTCCCATCAGGACCCACAAATATTTATTTTATGCTGCTAGGCCATAATGAGAAGTACGAACACCTACTACCCTAGAAAAACACATGCATACAAGAAGACATGCACAAGAATTTTATCAGAGCATTGATTTAATAGTGAATAACTACAAATGCCATGAATAGAATGGATAAACCATGCGATATGAATTAACTAGGGCTGCATATATCAACTAGAGTTCTGTATTAAACAATCAAATATAGATGTTAAATATACAGATGGATATGAGTCTGGAGTTCAGGACAGCTGTACAAGGTGGAGGTATAAATTTGGCAGTTACTAGGTTATAGTCGCTATAAAGCCACAAGAATGGATAAAATTGCCAAGAGAGTAAGAAATAGGAAGCTCAGAGTACTGACCCCTGGGAAGCTATCATTTAATTTGTGGAAAGGAGGAAGAACTAATAAGAAGGCAATGATTTTCTGGAAGTGAAGTGATTCAGGAGGAGGAAGCAATAAATTATATCAAATGCTGTTAATAGGTAAGAAGTATGAGAACTTGATGTGACAACATGAAAGTCACTGATGCTTTGGCAAGAATTTCAGTGGAATGGGTGGAGTTGAGGCCTAGAATACTTCAAGAGAAAAATGGGAAGAGGAAAATTGAAAACGTCTTTAGTCTCCCAACATCACACCTGCTTACCTAACTCTTCTTGTGCACATGTATTCTTACCTTTTCTCCTGTTACTGTGAATGCTCTGTCTGTGCTTCTAGCTAAGACCAATCTCTTCATTTGTGCACTTAATTCTATCTTCAATAACCTATTAAAAATATACAGACCTGGGAAATCTCTTCCCCTCCTACAGCATTTTCTCTGCTACATCGTTCCTTTCAGCATATAAACATGCCAATATCTTTCCCACCTTAAACAAAAAATCTTTCTTAACCCAATTTCCCCCTTCAGCTATCACCCACATTTTTTTTGTTTACAGCAACATCTTTGAAAGAACTGTCCTGCTGTCTCCAATTTTTCTTCTGTTTCACGTTTGGGTGCAGGCATGGAATAAGTAGACATTTGAATTTACTCAAATTGTGGTTAAGCCATGTGAGTGTGATGAGATAGAGGAACAAGGGAGTTGTAAGAGTGTAATTTAAGCTGCTTAACGAGAAAAGAGTAAGTGAAAGGGGAGACGGATGTGAAAAGATGTTGGTATCAATGGACAGAAGTTCCCTCTGGCGGTTCAAATGATCTTTGGAGATGGGATACTGAGTGAGTGAGCTAGAGAGGAGTTAGTGGTTGGGGAACAGGTGTTTGAGATTAGAGAAGAGTTTGAGTTACTGGTAATGACAAGCTCAACGTTATGTCCCAAGTTGTAGCTGAGGCAGAAGAGAAGGAAAGTTATTGAAGAGCCTTTCAAGTTTAGCCAATGAACTGGGAGACCAGGACACTGGAAGGATCATCTCTAAGTTTTGAAATCACTAACAAATGTAACTGGTATAGTATTGTAGGGAGTGAGACAGGAATGAAGTTCCTAAAGGATCAGGAGGGAATTGAGGGGACTGCACGGTGGATAACTACAGTAAGAAGTGCTCAGGCATGGTCTGATGACGTTTTTAATGGAGGGAGTGGAGAATAGATGAGGAAAAGAACCTATTCCACCTCCAGGCCCAGTGGTGTCAAGAGATGAGGTAGAGACTAAGCTACCACTTTAGAGGGCTGCGGGGGAAGCAGCGTCATCGGAAGTCACAACTTCTAATTCTGACAAGTGAAGTTTGAGGGCTGAGTATTTACACAAATCACTGCTCACTGTTCTTTTTTCCCTAATATTTTATTTATTATTGTATTATTTAATCATTTTATTTGTGGGAGAGGTAATTCGGTTTACATATTTTTAGAGGAGGTGCTGGGGATTGAACCTCAGGACCTCATGCATGCTAAGCATGCGCTCTACCACTATGCTGTACCCTCCCTGCAACTGCTCATTGTTCTTAAACCACAGTCTCATGATAACAGACACATGAATTTAAAAAAAAAAAAATCTGTAAGAAAAACAGCCATGAAGTGAAACAGTAAGGGAAACTCAGCTTCATGTCTGGAAGACATAGGGAGTGGCAAAGAGACCACTTAAGGGGACTAGTCATTTTGTGTGGTTGTCATGGCAGAATTCAGGCCTAGTATTGACAGATCTTTAGATTTTTTTTTTTTTCTGAGAAAGGCTAGAACTGGATTTTTCTGTGAAAAAGACTTAACAATACTAGCTTGTTATCTTAAAAAAAATTACTGTGCAGGCCAAACAAAACATGTCAGAGACTGCATTTAGCCATTGTTGCAATTTTATGAACTTTGCTTTTAAAAATAGGAACTACCACAGGTATGTATTTGTAAGTGCAGCAGTTGTCCTGACCATCAAACTGGCTGCCTTGCTAGGTAGCCTGCAGCAGTCTAGCTCAGCCTGTAGGTGTAAAGAGAGTGACTAGCCACAAGCTGACCAGGCAGAACTTAAATTACCTGGCAGTGTATCTGTTGCTTAGTTATTACTCAGATCTTATCTTGTCCCATTTTTTTTTCAATTCAATTTTTCAATTCAATTAGAATTGAAAAGAAATAAACTTAACTTTTTATGACCTGAACTTTTAATGAAAAGTAGACCTTGTACAATTAAAAAAACGAAAACAAAAATGAAGGTTCTTTAAGCCTGGAAAAAAAAAAAGCTAGTTAATTCCTAAACAGACTTTAACATAAAGTATTCAGTGTTTCTTCAAAATCTTCAGTTTTCCTTTAGTCTTAATGATGACTGAGAACATTTTTTGTACTGAAGTAGAATTCTAAAGATGGTGTTTGGCTGTATCTGACCTCGGGCAAGGAGGTATACCTTAGTTTCCTTATCTGTAAAATGGAAATTAAAAATACATGCCCTACCTACTTCATCAGGTAGCTGATATGGTAAAATGAGAATGTGAAAGGCTTCCACTTCGACTTTGTATGGGTGCTTTGTTTTATTACATTCTATTAAAGAATGACAACTTGCCTAAAGCTAGTGAGATTGCCTATTTAGAGAAAATAGATTAGAATATATTTAAAATTTAGGAAACCCCTTGAGTATGAGTAGATATACAATCTACTTTTAAAAGCAACTTTCCTATTGAAAGATGATGCTGATGATGATATCAGTGTGGGAGGTAGTGGCTGAAAAGTATCCTGTCCTCAGTTCTGTAAGCATGACTGGTTGTACTCTGGTGAAAAATCTTGTTCATTGATGTTACACTTGATAACACACTCTTTCTTGGTGCTACTATCACCTTCCCTTTCTTTCTGACCCTGTATTCAGTTTCTTTGTCATCAAAATTAACAATTATCACTTGAGATTTATATTTAATGTAGTGAATCTTTTCTAGCAGCATTTAATACACACTTAAAAGAACAAGTCTTAACTCAGAAACACAGGATTCCTCATTTTCACAGTAATTTTTTTTTAAGTCCCAGCACTGGAAACTCTAAGGCAGCTTCCTCAAAGGAAGGTAACATTGACGAATCCAGTGCAGCCAGTACGCTGAAATATGAGGTAATGAAATCTTAATCACATCCAGCTTGACTGTCCTGTAACTTAGTCTGAGTCTTCTAGAGTAATTACTCCTTTTTATTAATTGTATAGTTGTTATGAAGCCATGGAAGGAAAAAGCTGAACATCAAAATCATCAACAATATACCTGAAAGACAAAATACAGTAAAATAAGAACAAAACAATCTCTAAGGAAGTTAATAACCACTTGGTGGTTATAATTTGGGTTATATACAACTATATACCTAGAGATTTGTAGAGCTATGTTTAAAAGAATTCGCTACATCAGTTCTACATGAAGCATGAAGACATTTTAAAATCTAATATTCTCACATTATTTTTCTTTTACCATGAATCCTTAAAAGCAGTATATGTGTGGAAAACCGGTTGAATCTAAACAATGAACTCAAAGGATAAGTAAAATAGAAAGATCTAGAATTCTAGTTCTGGCTCCATTTAGTGACTTGCTGGATGAGAAACTGGCCTTGGGTCTCCACTTGCTCATTTCTAAAATGGCAGCCATATCCCTCCATGCTCCAGGGATGTACCAGGAGAATAAAGCAACTGAAAGCACTCTTGAGTTTTTACTTGGAATGCTTAAATAAAAATATGTGAGATTACTTTCTCCTTTCTCATTTTTTCCAGCAATCTCAACCATTAGTAGCTCTAAGAACTGTATTAAGCAAAATATCTAAAATTTCAGTTGAATTTTTAAATGTTAAAATAAATATGTTTGAAAAGTCACATATTGGTAAATCATTTTTGAGGTCACACCAGACAAATCTATCATGTAGCTACTGGTTAATTTTTTCAGTGGGACATAGGGACAGAGAAGACTTAACCACAGGGCTCAAACCACTGTCTTAAAGGGGAAGTCTGCAATAGTTATTATCTTAAAGTATGTAGGCTAAGGCTCTAAATCAGTTTAAACTCAGATTAGGAATGAGTTTTTGTCACATGCACATTTGATAGTTTACTCCTGTTGGCTAACAAGAAGAAACCATAAGGTTTGATGAGCTTTTGGATAGCTTAACATATTTTTGAAAGATGAGTCGTTTTGTAACCAAAGGCTTTAGATGAAAGAAAAGTCAGAAACAATCTATGTTAAGCAATCCACAAAATTTGACCTTTTCTTTTTAAAGTCAGAGCTAGAAACTAAGACATTACGTTTAAAACTTTTTCTAAAAACTAGAGTTACCGTTTCATAGAAGCAAATAGAATTTGCTGATTTTCCTTGTATGAAATGTGTAAGCAAAGAATTCTATATACATTCTTACAGTCTCATTTCTAACATTTATTAATTTGGGGGAGATGGCAGGGGCCCTTAGAGGATTTATAATTATCTCTGCATGGCTTCTAAAAATAGTTTGCTCCCTGCTTGGTCAAGAAGAGAGAGAAGATAGGTATCTTGGGATTACTCTCCTTAGTCTCACTCTGTGACGTTACTTTACATTTCTTTGCTTTGACTCCTCATCCCTTAGCTCTCTGAATGACTCTTGTTAAAATATAATTCATTATTCCCATCCTTCTTAGGGTTTAATAGTGACCTTATTTCATTTCAGGCCATTTTTCCCCAATGGAATGTAATTTAAATTTACGACAAAAGTCAATGGCAAGCTGGAATTCGGTATTCTAAAAGCTGCCATTTAGTCATGTCTTTTATCCACATCTGTTGAAACATTCCTGTATTGCTTCTTATTCATAAACCTCTTAAAGAAGTATAGGGACATGCCTCTTTAAATGAAAACCTACAAGAGAAATTTTCTTTGGGTCTATTTAGAAAAAACTAGGAGATTCTTAAACCAACAGAGAAAGAACTTTTGCATGCGCATTTTCAACAAGCTAACTAGAGCCACACATAATCACAAAAAAGTTTGATCCCAGTTCCATTTTTAAAAGATTCCTTGAATAGGAAGCAAAGAAATAAAAGTATATTTGTTTATTGTTGGGGTATTTGGATTGTTTTTTGAGTAAGTAGTTATTTTAAATGTTTTGGTAATGGCAACAAGTACTGTTGCCATCCTGTTTGCACTGCACTAACATTTCCTAAAGGGGCAGAAGTGATTGTTCCTTCTTTATCTGTTATGAGACTTTTTTCCAATATGTTCTTCTAGGAAGAAGTTATCAAGTGATTTAGGCTACAGAACGTGTTTAAAAAAAAATCATGGTCCTTTTACAGAGAATGTCAATTACTTCTGATTTTTTTTCTTTTAAAATTATTTTGGAAAGGCTTACGTTTTAGTGTTCTTTCAAGTAATGAATGACATAATTCCTTAGTATCATGGGCCTACTGTTAAAATTATAGTTGGAGCACATTAAAAAATGTATAATGTTAATAATATGTGTTCATTTCAAATAAGACATGTTAAGAGAAGTGTCTATGTAAAAATTCTCAGTAGACCTGTCTAATTAGTGACCTTTTTAACTTCTTCATGGACTTCAGCGATCTTTTTAACTTCTTAAAAATCAAGAGTAGAGAAAATTTATCTTTAAAGTTATTGGAAAACACTAGTAATCTATAGAACTGAAAAAAAGCTTCCATTATTAGCATTTTAAAAATATAGGTTTTCTCTGATAATCTTCATGTTTAGGCCTATAGATATTACTGAGCATAACAGGCACTAAATTTGAGATACAGGATGAAATGGGAGGAGTAAAGTGTGATGGCTATTGAAACCTGTTATGCCAATATTCCCTTCTGTATGTTCCGCCCCCCCCCCTTTTTTTTTTTGACAGAAATGAGCAATAAGAAACAAAATGGCTAACTGGATAAAAAGGATGAACTAATAGAAGGCCAGCCATCCTCATCCATTTATAGTTATGAATTATATTCAGGCTTGACATATGACTAAACAAACCCTGATAACTTATATAAAGAAATGAATATCATGACTATAGTTATTTTATACTTTTGTGGTGTTTGACCTGTATGAAAAGAGGAGTTTTATGTAGCTGACCCAGATAGAAATAACAGGAATGCAATTTATGGAAAAATTTAAAACTACATTATTATAGTTCTACATTGTTTCATGAGATGCCTTTCTGCAAAATGAGTCAAATGAACTAAATAGTATTTTATCTGGAACTCACAAACGTGTAAAATCAAATTCCTTTAGCAAAAAAAAAGATTATTTTTTAATGGAAGTAATCACTCTTCACTTTTTTGCCCTTGTATCTGAGGGCTTGTTAAAACAATATCATACCTCAAACTGACTATCCTTAACTAGATAATCTTGTTTCTTTGAGGATAAAAGCAGTTTTAAAGGATACTGCACAAAGTAAAATGTTATTTCAGGCATTAACATTTCACAGCTTTTTCATTTTCTTTTTTGTTCGTACTCTCACTTTGGAAATTGATATGTTACAGTGACATTCCACATTATATTTTAAAATATTCTAATCTTTAAATCATATTAAATAAAAATATGCTTACCTAAAGAAGGAGCCAGCCAATATACAATAAAAAATTGAAGGAAGTCTTCATCAAAGCACTTGAAATGTAGTGAAAGTGCCAAAGCTGGATTAAATACAGCTCCTGTTAGACTTCCTCCTGTAATATATTTTAAGCAGAATGATACCAGGGGGAGGGTATAGCTCAAGTGGCAGAGCACATTCTTAGCATGCAGGAGGTCCTGGTTTAATCCCTAGTACCTCCATTAAAAAGGAATAAGCAATCTCCCCCCAAAATAATAAAATAATACAATAAATAAATAAAATATTTAAAAAAGAATGATACCAAACTGTGTATCTTAACATTTTCTTGTAACTGGAAATACTAAATGTGACTATTTTGTTTTAGGTATTTAAGTATCCTTATTCCATAATCTTTCTTTGCAGAATCACTTGGCATATTAAAGAGTATAAAAATAGATTATAGATTATAATATGCCAGGTGTAGAAATAAGGGGTGGGAAGGACAAAGGACATTAAGAGTTTCAATACAATGCTTTTCCTATAGTATATTCTAAAATGCACATTGAAAGTTAATCTGATCCTACAGTTTTATATGGAGATTTGGCTGCCTTTCTTAACATTCATCAATTTAAATGAATGAATAATAATAAAAATAAAATGAAAATACAATTAAAATGGACACAATACCCCAGGATCCTCTTGGGCAGAAGCAACCTTTGTGTTGAAAACAAAAGTAAAATGGACCAAAGCATGATCGTGGACTCCATTTTTACTTGTCAACAGAGCCCTAAAGAAGTGACTGTGATGGTATGTGAATTTTATCTCAATAGAGTGGTTATAAATTTTTTAATATAATAATAAAAGACGTGACTGAGTAGTCAAGATAGATAAGCACAAATTCTGATTAGTTGACTACCACTTGGGATTTATGGTCCAGCCGTGCACCCAGGATATCTCTGAGATGGGGCCCAGGAATTTACAGTTGTGGCTACACAGCAAGTAAGGAAAGGCAAAGGAGGCTGGACTGCCTATCCAGTGGTACTCACCAGAGCCGTGGCTCAGCTTTTGAGAACACACCCTGAGAGTACCCCTGAGAGAGGCGTTTCTGGTGGTTCTTACATACGGAAGCTTGGGCACACACATCTGCCTCTGACTTAGCCACAGAGATAGATCTGGAGATCTTCACAATTTTATATGGACATATGCCACTACAGCATGTAAATTGTCTTCATAAAATGCAGTGAAGTAAAACTGGAAATTAAGTGACCCTTTCATAAGATTTCACTAATGACATTTCACACATGATAAACTGCAGACACTGGATCTGTGTTGAGATGAAGATGCTGAGCCATGAGCTGAGTTCACTCTATGGCTAAGAGTCTTTTCTGGCATACCAGCCTCTCAGCATGATTCATATTCATGCCTTAGCACTTATAAATGACATCACATCATGGACCTTTAGAACCACTCGTGACGAGTCAAATCCTGGCATGTTAAACTTGCAACTGCCAAGAGCCAACAAAATTGTTTGGTTGGCATGTGGTCATTTCAGCTCAATTCCACAAAAAATTATTGAGTTCTACATATTGAGATACTAGATACCATGGACAAGAGGTAGGACTCATACAGATCATTACAATAAAATATAATTTAATACACACTATGATAATAAGTGACCTGTGAGGGTTTTTTAGACATTTATCAATAAAAATAGACTAAGCCATTACACTCATAATTAATTTGCTTCAGTATTCTCATTAGGTCTTTGGTATTTCCATTAGGCCTAAGAACGCTAAGTCAGTTTTACACCATTCTAGAACTCAAACTACTTCACCCTCCTTACCTTCTAATCCCATCACCAATTCTGCTCCGTGCGATTTGATGGAAGCTGTCTTCCTACCAAGAGGTAAAGTCTGTTCCCCTGTCTTGAATATGGGTTGGCTTTGCAACTTGCATTGATAAACAGAATGCAGCAGAAGTGATGCTATGTGAATTCTGAATGTGAGGAGTGACACAGTGAATTCTAGGTTTAGGACTTAATAAAGCCATCACTGGCTTCCAATTTTGCTCTCTTGAAACAATGTCCTGACTATGTAAGTGGGCTGGTCTAGGCTGCTGGAGGATGAGAGGCATCTTAGATGGCTGTTGGTAGCAACTGCTGGACACATGAGTGAGGTTACCTTCGCTCTTCCAGACCTACCAGTTGTCCAGCTATATAATCTCAGTGGAGTTTCCTATCTAACCCACAGGATCATGAAAAATGATAAATTATTGTTATTTTAAGTAAGAGTTAACTGATACAGAAATCTGTATCAGGAACAAGTTCTGTGTCAACAAAGGCCCAAAACATGGGGCATTGGCTTTGATGTTTTAGACTGGGTAATTCTTTGTTGAGTATTGTTTTCAGCAGCATCTCTAGCCTTTACCTACTAGTTGCCAGTTCACAACCATCTCCCCCCATATAACAACCAAAAAAGTCTCCAGACATTGCCAAACATCCCCTGGGGGGCAAAACTGTCCCCTGTTGAAAACTACTGTCCTGAAGAACTACTGGTACTTGTATACTAGTAGACACACACAAGGTTGTTTATCTATAGTAACAGTGAACTGGGAAGAACTTAAATGTCTACTCATAAGAAATACCTACTCATAAAGAAAAAAGTTTATTATTAATTTGGAATACTGTTCAGTATTAGAATAATGAGAAATCTCTGCTAAAACACAGGTAGATCTCCAAAATATATCACTGAACCACCACCACTAAAAAAAGCAAACTGCAGAAAGAATGGTATAATACCTTTCATGCTAACACAAACACATATAAAATAGTAGCTTCTATATGGGCCTGTCTATATGTATAATAAATGCACATAAAAAGAGTTTGCAAGGACACACACATGCTCGCAGAGAGGACTACCCTGGTGGGAAGAGAAGCAGGGAAGGAGAGGGGACAGGCATGGAGGATGGCAGTCAAAAGGCACTTTTAGTTTCACTGGTAGTGTTTCAATTTAAAAAACAAACCACATTTACGCATTGTGTAATTAAACATGAATGATTTAAAAAGTAAGAATCATCAATCAGGCACAGAATAATAGAAAGTTGCTTTGAAACATAAATTACTATTTACTGATATCTGGAGTGGAGAAGACATAATAACATGTTAAAGAAGAGGTACCAACAGGGATATCCAGCTGTCTGGTTGCCAAGAGTCTTAGAGGACAGTGTGAACTTGATGAAATTACCATAGTCAAAGAGTGAATCTCAAATCTGGCAATTCTACGTGCTAATGTTTCTCAATACTCTTAAAGGGAATCAAATTCTCTTGATAGAATGACACTAGTTAAAATCATGTAAGACTCCTGTGAAAGCTAGAATGTCAATTAACTAATTTATAGTGGAAGGTAGGCCTTTCCAGTGACCAGAATATTTGTGCCAGGTACTATGCTAAGAACTTGGAATACATTATTCTTCATAATAGTTTGAAGAAATGGGTAGTAGTAGTCTCCATTTTAAAGATGAGGAAACTGAGGCCTAAATTATCTCTCCTAAGGGTACCATTCAACTCCAAGCCTGTGTTCTTAACCACTGTATTACACTGACATGATAAAACAAAACAAAACAAAAACAAAAACAAAAAAAATGTGAATATACATAAAGGGCTTAGTTCCCTTCTCCTTTGACAAGTAATCTTACCCAAATTCTTTGTGACTTAGAAGTAAATCAGAAACTCCTGAATGGAGTAATGAAATGAAATAAAAATACAGTTACTTCAGACAATTAGACTTATTTTGAAAGCTCTTAGACATAAAATATGAATACCCAGATATGTATTATTTCTTTATGTGTGATTTTTTAAGTGAATAGGTATTTGCTGATTATTCACTCATTCTAAAAATACTGAGTGTTTACTGTTAACAGGTGACACCATGCTAAATCCTGGTTAAACATTATAATGAATAGAACAATTTTAGTCTGTACTTATAAAGCTTACTGTCTGGTGAAGGAAGACCAGGCATTACTTTACTAAACAAGTATATAATTAAAAATAATAAAAAGTAAATGAACAGGCTATAGTAATAAAAACAATCTACTTAGATGTGTAAAATAACAGATTTTCACCTCAATATCTAATTAATTAAAAAATGAATGCAGTTCTTTGTCCTGCTCATTGAACCAAATTCTCCCAAAACCTAAATTAAGGCAGATTTGCTTGAAATTTGCATTAATAGTTTTATATCTTTAATACGTTAATAAATCACACAGCTTTTTTTTTTTCCACTTTATTTGGGAAGCCAATAAATACATGGTAAGTGGTAATGACATCAGTGGCCTCCATCTGCACATCAAAGTGCAGGGTACTAAATCAATAAGTACACTTGATCACTGGCTATCCAAGGAACCTATGGCTACACTGCTGGACAGTTATGTCCTGTAATCTTAAAACACAAAATCAGTTACTTTGATGTGACCTATATTAGTGACTTCTGGGTGTCCTCAAAGTGCAAGTGATTAAAGAAATATCCAGGCATGCAGCTTTTCCCAACCAGTACTAATAATACCTTTGAAGTTGAAAAAAACGACACATCAAAGTAATTTGTAACAATGCCTGACTTAGCTTCCTGACTTCCCCTGCCTTTCTTACCTCCTTCCTACAAATCCTCACCTCTGCCCGATAAGACACAAACTCAACTAGTCCCAAAACACTTCATTCTATTTTAGAAAACTCTGTTATAAATTTATGACTTATATCCATAAAAAATAATGGGGAGTGACATGGCTTAGTGCAGCACTTCCCGAAGTATGTTCTCTTCTGCTACACACTCCTAGACAAAGAGATTCTATAAGTTTGAAAAACTGTGTTCCACATCCTTCTCTTGGAGTTTTATAATAAACAGTAGAACAGTAAAGGCTCCAAGAAGTCTTAAATTAGAAAATCTGTTTAATCCAGTGTTTGCCAAATTTATTTGGCAAAAGAATCCTTTTAAAACTTAAAATTTTAAAAAATTATGGTAAATATATATATATAACATAATATATGCCATTTTAACCATTTTAAAGTGTATATTCAGTGGCTTTAGTTATATTCATAATGTTCAACCGTCACCACTATTTCTAAAATGTCAAACAGAAACTCTGTATCTATTAAACAATAAGTCCCTATTCCTCCCTGTCACCCAGTCCATGATAACCTCTATTCTACTTTCTGACTCTATGAATATGCCTATTCTGGATACTTCATATAGGTGGAGTCCTGTAACATTTGTCCCTTTGAGTTTGGCTTATTTTGCTTCACATATTTTTAAGGTTCATCCATGACATAGCATGTATCAGAACTTCCTTTTAATTGCGGAACAGTACTCAATTGTATATAGTTTTGTTACTTTTGAGAAGCATGCTCTAGAAATGCTGATAATGAAATAAGCATGAGCTTTAGTGTCAGTTTGAACCATGGTTCCAGCAGATTCTAGCTGTGTGACCTTGGACAAGTCATTTCACTTTCCTGAGCCCGCTTACTTCACTTAAAATGGGAATAATGTATTCATCAGTGGGTTGTTGTAAGGATTAACTAAGATAACTCATACAAATTCCCTACATGCATGGCATGTTGCCCAATGAATATTCTTATCTCCCTTACAGTGGCAGAAAAGGAAGATCATAAAAGATTATCAATTTCTGTAAACTAGTAATTGACAATTGTCTGTTAGGTCCTGTCCCTGCAAACAGTCTCCAGTGCTGTCCATTACTGGACCCACTAGCCACAGTTGGCTACTGAGGACTTGAAATGTGGCTACAGTGACTGAGGAACTGAGTATTTAATGTTAGCTGATTTATAACCAAATAACCACATGCGAAGAGTGGCTACTGAACTGGCCACCAAAGTCTAGACTGGAGCAGTGGTTCACAATCCTGGTTTCATAGTGGGATCACCTGGAAAACTTTAAAATATATCATTGCCTAGGCCCCTTCCCACAGGAATTAAATCTTAATCTCTGCACCCAGATATGGGTATGTTTAAAATGCTCCCCAGGTGATTGTAGTGCAGAGAAAATGTTGAGAATCACTGCTCTAGTGATCCCTCCACTCTCTTCTCCTCCCCCATCGATTAATACCCTCATTTCAGCAATGTCAGTGTCTATAATGTGAGGGGAAGAAAAAGAGCAGTGTTTTTGGATACCTTAAATTGATTATTGTATGGGTTTTTTCCCAATAACTCTCCCTATATTTATGTATAACTTCAAATGTTATCTTGTTTCTCTTCTCTCAAAATCTTTGTCACTTATAAAATAGGTATTGGTTAATATTATATACAGTATTATTTATGAAATCACAAATGCATTATTAAAGTACAAAAGCAGGAAGAATACCAACTTTGGAATCAAGAGAGGGAGAAGGAACTGTGTATAACATTAATTTAAAACATCTTATAAATGTTTACTGCTTTTAATTATATAAGCACAGAGCTAAACTGTGGCATAACTTTTTGCTAGGCAAAACCTTAGCAAGTACTTACCAACCCCTCAAATATGCATATCCTTCCTTCTCTCCTATACAATTTATTTCCATCTGCATCTACAAGAAGAATGGTACTAGATCTAAAGAAGGGAAAATGGATTGGATACTCTTTCATTTTTACCTAGGAAGTTAAGCATATGTTTTACAAGTCCTTGTCTTAAGGTTTGCTTCTACTTATAGTTTCACTTTCAGTGGGCAGAAGATAGACTCTTAGTACTAATTTACTTTTATTATATTCCTACTTCCAAAACATGTTATAATTCAGATTCAGTCCCAATGAAAATATTTTGTTATAGTCATTTAAAATGACACATCTCATAATTAAACTTTTGTTTTTTGGATTTCCTTGTCTCATTAGAATATCCAGATTACTGCATCTGAAGGTCTGTCTAGGTAAACAAATTATTTATAAGAAATCAACAGATTTCTCGAGAGTTATTTGTTTTTAAAAAGCATCTTTAATTTCAAGCAAGTTTTAATTTCAAAACACATCTTTCTTGATAGGCCATAAAAGTTCATTTATAACTCACCATAGATTACTAAGGAAATAAATGACTTTAAGTAATTTCGTAGAAGAAGAACTAAGAAATAGAACATAGAAATTCTACTGCCCACTCTTCCTACTAAACCAATCAAGTAGCTTGTGCTTTAAACTGGAAGGCGCTTTTTTTTTCTTTTAATTGGAAGGAACTTTTAAAGCCCAGGATCATTTTTCAGTGAGGGTGTCAGAAAGGATCTATACCAAGTTGGCAAGAAGTGACTGATGTTATCTTTCCTCTCCACCATTAAAACAATCCCTTTGTAGGATATCTGAAACTTGGACAATATCTCACATGATCTCAGTTTCAGCACAGAAGTGGCTTTTTCTAGGGGCTCAAAAAAAGCACTGAATGGAGGATCTGTATTTCTACCCTATCGGTAAAGAATGGGCTGCGAAACGATTAGAACAACGGAGATAGCAATACTGACATCACACAGGCGTAGGGGGGAACACTGAAATGTATCTTGGCAAAGAACTTAGAGCCTCAAGTCATAGAGGCTCCGGACGTGCCAAGTGTTTTGTGGGAATAACAAACCTGCATAGACCAAAAAGGTGATGAGTGCTGACAGCAGGTGGATACGAAGCTTGGTTCGGACCTCCTGGAAGTGCAGCAAAGCGCTGTGGAAGATAAAGGAGCAGACGGCCTCTATGACTACCGCTTTGGGCAAGTCGACTTGGATGGGATTCCTACAAGCGAAGCTCCTCTCGCTGACGTGATACTTGGTCAGCCCCAGGTTCCACAGGGCGCTTATGCAGTGCCTGCTGCACAGGGCACCGATCACCTGAGCCAACAGCCTCAGCGCGCCGGTCTCGGCGGACATTCCCCCCAGCATTATCTGCATCATCACGCCGCACGGGTTGCTGGAGGTGCCCACCAGAGTCAGGCCATGCACCAACGAGAAGAAGTAGATTAGCGTCAGCGGCCAGGTGGGGTGCAGGGGTTCCTGCTCGCTCAGCAGTTGCAGCTCATGGGTGCAGAAGCAGAGCTGGAAGGTGGCCAGAAACTCCAAGATGAAGGCGTGGACCGTGGGCCTGTTCAGTTGCTGCCGGGTGACCACGCGGGCCAGTCCCATGAACAGCACGTTCAACAGCATCAGCCCCAGCGAGGTGCAGGTGTCCTGCACCTCGGGCCAGGGCCCCCATAGCGCCGTCATGGCTCGCTCACCTCTAGACTAGGCTGCCTGCTCTGTGTCGGCAGGAGGAGGCGTATGGGCTCGAGTCCGAAGTCCGCAGCCCCGCCCCTTCCTCACGCCCCTCGGGGCGGGCCGACTCCAGACTAGCCTGAGGCCCCGGGGGCGTCACGCTGAAGGGCTCCTCCCCCCACCCCCGGCTCGGCGCTATGGTGGTGTTACCAGAGTCGCGGAGGAGGGGAGGCGAGGGACGGCTAGGAAAGCTCTGTGAGGGCGCCGGCTGAGGGGCCAACGGTCAGCCGGAACCGGGCAG